AAATTATTTAATAATAGGAATACTATTTCTTGTTATGATTTTAATAACAACGATTTATATTGTAATTAAATGTAAATTAATTAATATCAAAAGTACAAATACAAATGAATCAACTTCGACAACTCCGAAATTTTATGTAGACCTTAGAAATAGATTTTCTAATAATGTCCGTAGAGAAGAGGTGGTGGCACTTAACCCACTTCCGGGTCCACCCCCGCCTTCACCACGTTAATTGAATAAGTTATAAAAAAAAAAAAAAACAATTTTCATAAGTAATTAAAATTAATTGAATTATATAGTATATAGTTAAGTTTAAATTATTATCAATCATAATTTTATTTTTAAATCTAATAATCATATATATTTCAGATAATTTTCTGTACAAGAGAGCAATATCTGCAAACTTGCTGTCATAATACTATTCGCATTAAACCGTAAGTTAGAAACTTCGTTAATGTCATCTTATAGTTTAAAAGAAATTACGTTCTTTAGAAACGTAGTGTGCATTGCACATGAGGATTGTTTCATACTCAAATCTCAAAAATCATTTGAACAAATAGTTCGTGAAGCTAATAATCTTTTACCACATAGATATCCAGTGGATAAATTATATAAATTCGAAACAAATTTAAAACAATTAATTGAGAGAATATTTGGAAATATAGAAAGATCTGTAATGAGTATGAGCATTGTTGTTTTGGCTTCAAAACCAGAATATATCCAACCTTTATATACTTTATTACAAAGCTTAGTTTAATTAGCATATTTAATATTTAAGTAACACTTTTATTTATATAACAATAAAATTTTAATAAATTATATTTTAATCTTATTTATAATATACTTTAGTTATAATAAGTACTAATTATTTCAGATATTCATATCTATCAGTCAAAAAAAAAAGAACCATTTGAGTATTCACTGTTCTATCCAAATACTGTAAGTTAATTTAATTAACTAATGGCTTTACATTATAGTTTAAAAGAAATATCTTTCTTTAAGTTATTCATTAAAATTGCTTACGAAGATCTTCTTCGTCGATCAAACAAAACTTATAACCAAATAATTCTTGAAACTAATAACCAACTAAGACATGGTTACCCTATAGCTAATCTTAATAAATTCGAAGAGGCTTTAACAGTAATGATGGCAGAATTTTATGGAGAATTAAATAGTTCCATGATGAGTAGAACCATAATAGAAACAACTTATAGGCAGGAACATGTAGACCTTTGGTGTGCATTATTGAGAAACTTGCTTTAATTACTATTTAACTTCTTATTTAATTTTTTTATTTAATTTTATCATATATGTATATCAGATTCTTTTAATTTTAAAAATTACATATTCAAACATCACTATGAGTCGATCACGAGCAATTAGTTTCATTGTAGCTCTAAAAATAGCAATGGATACGGAAGACCATTTTACAGTTTCAAACGGAAATTTCGTTACATTAACATGTTTAGGAAACCATGTAAGATTGGCTAATGCTTTAATAGATAATCCTTATACTGGGGAGGAGCTAAATAGAACAATTGCCCCAATTTTAGATTTTATTCGAGATATAGTAGATACTAGAGATATTAATAGAGTTTGTAAGACAGTTGCAAGAACTATTGATGCCTTAATTGTACAGGGCATGTTTTTGGGAGATATATTAGATGAGCTTAATAATAATATTTAATAAAAGTACTAATATTAATTAATTTTATATTGGTATTGCGCTTATTTAAGATTAACAATTTTTAAGTTCTTTAAGTAAAATTTTAATTTAATATTTAAACAGTTCACCATGGAATATCAGCTATTTGCATGATTCCATAAGGTCGATTCGGCAGCAAAGATCGTGTATAGCCCGTCAGAATATAATATAAGTGTTTTTTTTATAGTTTATGTCAAATAATTTATAAAGATAGAATTCGCCATAATAGGTATCATTATAAATTATTAGATTGGTGCCTAGGTAGGGCGAACGTAGTTAGTAATACTAGTTTCACCAGCACTGACCTAAATCATTTTGAGAACCATCTGGTAGCAGCGGCCCAGTTTTTGTTAAATTGTGAGGACCGGAGGAATGTTCCTCTGGCTCTTTTATCCTTAGCACCAGGGATAAGCAATCCGCATGCGTTATTGCTTTTCCCTCAGGTGCCAATTAAATACCAGCCGCTGGGTGTCTCACCAAGGTCACCATCTATTTTATCTGCACCAGACATAATAGCACCTAGACCTATTGCAGTAATTAAAGGAACCCGTAGAGAATAGTTTTTTAAATTTATATAACTTATATTAATACTAAATTTATTATTTTAGCATTTTTTTTACTATATTTAGATAACGTATAAAAAAAATATTTAAGATATATTAATAAAAAACCAAAAAAATTATATATTTTATTTTTCTAATTTACATACTAGATTAACTTATTTTATTAACTAGAATTAGGTATATTTTTACTTTTAATTATCATATTTTTGGCACTATATGCAAACAATAAATAATTTTTATTACTAAAAACTGTATTATAATAACTTCTTAATTAATCAATAATATTTAGATAACTCAAATCAATGTATTACACTGAAGAATTCGTAATGCAAGTTGAGGAATTCATAATGTCAGGAATTTGCAATAGACCTTCTTTTCTTACATCACCTGATGTCACGAAAAGAGATGATATTTATTTTAATAATTTTATACAGTTAACCCATCAGGATATCTATATATCAGTTCCTACTCATAAATATAACTTAAGAAATAACATTACTAAAACTTACAAAACTTTATCAATGTTAGTAGAAGATGCTAATGAAATGTTACATCAATCAGGTAGTGACTTATTTAGCACAGAGGAGTTAAGTGTAATAGAAATAAGCTTGAGGTTAGCCGCCCAACATTTAGCAGGGTGTATTAACACAAAAGATGAATGTATGAGTTTAATTGTATTAGCTATGAACACAGATATACCTGTACATTTATTGTATTATCCAAAATACCCTATAAGAACATTCGGTTTATATGAATATTAATACTTATTAGTTATCAAACTCAATATATCTATATCAAACTAACTTTAATATATATACCTATTGTTATTTACAATACTTATACTAACACGTATTATTTAATTTTACGTATTTTTTTTGTATAACTTTAATTATCTTTTGCAATATGTAATTTACAAACATTATATTATGTACATTTGAATGTTTCAAAAAAAAAATGAATTATGTCATGTTTTTGAAATTGTCATATTATAACTATGTTTTGTATTTATTATGTATTCTCTTATTTTACTAATTACCATACTTTATTGTAAGCACAATTACATTATGTAATAATTGCACAAAAATATTAATGAATTTTATTATTCACTATATTGTTACAATTGTAAAATTAGATGACTGTTACATATTTGTCATTCTTTGTATTCACATATTATTGTTTATTTTCAGTTATTTATGTTATCTATGTAATGATTAACTAACATGTATTTTTCAAATTTTTAGCAATATTTGTAAAATTCGCTGGTCTAGTTCGAAGTTAGTCTTTAGAAGCCTAACTTGCGTCTTGTGGGGGAGGTGTTATGAACATAACCTTCAGTTAACCTCTACACACCATTACACAAAACAACCAACTACACTAAGCCTAATAATGCTCATATTATAATAGTTCTCTGAGTCATACATTGGCATACCTATACGATAGATGACTACTGGTTATTACAGAGCGCACCTGCATGATTATCTGGCGTAGTGATTGAATTATATTACAAATATATATATATATCAATACTACCTTAGTCCGTTCCGCTTTGATAAGCTATTTGGGAAAAACATGTTATTGCCATTTTATAAGATTAGATTGCCAAAATAATGCCAATTAAAATAATCATACGATGTGCGTCCGCTGTAGCATCCGCCCATCGGGTCAACACATTTTACACAATAACACATTACACAGATTAGCATAACCATATAAATAGGAGTAGGATCCAAGCCTATTCCAGACGAATTATTACACTCATGTTAAATACACTTATGTAGCTGTTGTCTACGCATTTTTACTATGCAATAAATTTATACTTATTATATTTGGAAAAAGTCTTAAATTATTTTAAATCCATCTTCCTGAACTGGTTTCAAATTGAACAACTCGATACTTTTTGATATTATATATCAACGAGCATCACAATAGTTATAACAACTTCTTCTTATTGATAAATTATTTTGAGTAATGTAGCATGATAGTAACATGATTGAATATATGCTTTATATTGAATGATATAAAATTGCACCCCACATACACATATATTTTATTGTCAACAAAGAAAATTGTAAATTTACAAAATGTCTTTGTCCAAGGGTGGCAGTATAGTTTAATGCGGCACGAATTAAATTTGATAATTCATAGGGATAAAGGCGTTTCAGTCTAAGTACGATATAAGTTCTAATAAATAAGCAGAAAAATATTGTGTACGTGCATTGTTGAAATAATAACATGTTTTATGTAATTTTCATGTAAGTTATTTTACTCTATATTAGTTCCGTTATGACAACATACTCTTGTGGTGTCACAACGTTTTTCTTCGCTAGACTAGTGTTTTCGGTTCCCTACTCTGATGTATCGATGCAATTATTTAGATCACATCTCTATCTTTTCAGGTAAGTATATAGAGTTATGGCCCGTTCCTGACTTTGTTGTACAGGTGTATTTATGGCTGTATCCATGCGGTTTTTAAGGGAAATAAAAATATTTATTAGACAAAAAGTTGCAATTTGTATTTACTAATTGCAACTTGTTACTTTTCGCAATATTAGTAATGTCTCGCCAAAAGTGTCTACTAAGCAAGTGGGGACCCATTCTCATACTATAATATTCAATAGTTATTGAACATCGTTTGGACATGAAAATATGCTCTAGGGTATATTTTTAGCATATCAATATTGTAATTCACCCATAAAACCAGGTATAAAAAAATAAAAAATAAAATCCAAAAGTTAAATAGTGAACAATATGACGTATAATATTTCGTATATGACAAAATAATAACATAAAATGTATAATATAACAATTAACAACAATCATTTAAAGTTTATCTTTATATAAAACAAAACATTGTTAATTAAAAATATAAATGTTGAATTTTTTTTTTTCTAGTTATTTTCATCCTTTACTGCTGTTATGAACTTTTCGACGACATCTTTTATTTTTTCTAGAACACCCTCTTTTGCTTGGTCTGTGACTTCACCCCAATTTTCCCACATACTATCCACTGCTTCTTTGTCTTTGAGCACATCCACACAGTCGACTTCTTCACAAACCACCATAGCTTGTGTTGCAGTGATTAACTTTTTGCTTGCGTCGCCATCTTTGCCGGCTTTTATTAATTTTTCTGCATCTTCAACGACATCAGAATAGAATGGATGAAATTCATCTGCGTTAGCAGTGCACAAATATGAAAAAACATTTTAAAAACAGTTATAATACCGTATAGTTTATAAGTAAACTATGCCATGAAATAAAAATCGCTAGGATCATGGCCAAATTTGGTATTCTTTTTGAACGATATGACATTAAGCACGAATAAAATGTGCATTAAATATTTGTTCTTCTTTACTCGATTCGCCAAGTCAAGTCTCGTAATTTTACTAAACATAAATAAATTAGAAAAAACCCCAAGATATTAAAATCCCCCCAAAAAAAAAATAAAAATCATTAATTATTCTGTAGACGGTAGAATGTATAATACAATACCAACAAAACATTTTGAAAGAACAATTGAGTGTTTCTTGATCACAAAATAGTTTGATCGGATGTTTTTAAATACATCATTCTAAATTTTAATTACTATGTATGTGTTCTAAACCTACTTTCTGCCATATTTTTCGACCATGTTTACAGCAACTATTTTCAAAATTTATATTTTTTAAAGATAAAGTTTTTCTAAGTCCGACTGATAATTAAATAAATATAGGGTTCTAAAACCCGCATCAAAAAAAAAAAAACAGATATCTACAGAATGGAAATTGGATCAATTTAATTAACTTACTCTCCCCTTTTTGCGTATTATACAAAAATAAAACAAAATAATGATTTAGATACTTACATTCACCAGTTTCTTTTTTTTGTAAACAGTTTAATAAATAAGGTTCAGTAAGCCTGCATCGAAGACTTGTCATCGGGCTATAACTGTTCAAAACCTCGTCAATGGCATCATCATCCTCGTCCCCCACCTCCTCGTTGTCCGCCTCTGATGTCTCTGAGGATGACGCAGCATGTAATGAAATCTGAAAGACGTACATACACAGTATTAGTACTATTAGTAGTAACATAGTTCTTGACGACTGTCTTGACAAATACCAGTAGAGTTATAGTTTTGCAGGTTCAGTGAAGATAAGTCCAAGAAAATTGGGTACGACGTTATAGAGGTTCTGGGAACACTAGTTCCCATTGTTTAGTATAGTAAGATGACTAAATATGTAGTTTGCATGATGAAAAATATCACTGCAGTCGTTTTTAGTTACATTATGTTACGGACAATAAGTAAAATATTACTATTATTTCAACATTATGAATATACATATATATATATATATTTATATATATATATGTTTCTATAAAAACAAAAGAGTACAAACAGTTTTTCTATACATTTGAACGATATTCGTATTTGTTATGTTTTGTATAGAATGTTGCACTTACGATGAGACCAAAGGAAAAAATTGCAAATAACATGACACAACGAAGACGCATGATTGAGTTCATGGCGAGAATACCTATAACAAAACAAAAATCAATAATATTTATTATTTTTCATCGACAAAATAACGGTGCTATGAAATAATAAATCTTCAACGATCAACTCTGTATTACAAACTAATAGAAGAATAACTATAACTCAAAATACAAATAATGGACACCCATTCACGAACGAGTTAATGAAATGTAAGTATTTTTTTATTAATATTCAACTGATATGCACGCTTATAATGTTTATTCAACAATAACAAATCCACATTAATTATCGATATTAGTTTCCAGTTTTGTACAAAATAATGTCCTGGGAATTGCACGTTTCCGATAAACTGAGCAGTGTTGTTGCATAGAATCTTTTCAATAAAATTACATGGTACTAAATTTAGAGCTTGGGTAGTTAAAATACCCGACTACTTGGTATTAAAACCCCAGGTATTCGGGTATTAACTAAAACTTGTTCTAATAGTTGTACTTATGTTTAGAAATATATTTTTTTCATTTAAATAATAAGCCTCGAAATCAACGGCCAACGTCTAAAATGTGTTTACGGTATTACTATTTTAACAGTAAGTTTTAAATATAATACTTATAATACATTTTAAATATATACATAAATATCTATTATTTTTAATTTTAATACTAATTATATATTTTGCTTTCGAAATTGTATTGCTGAGGAATGTAAATTAACTATTGATAACATATTAATCGGGTCCTAGTAGTACAGACATCGACATTCAAAATTAAAAACTGCCTTGTTTCCGCTTTACTAACTTCTTACTTTATAAGGAAAACAACAATTTGTCGCTTTAATTAGTTAGATCTGTATTGTCTTATGTTAAATTGGTAGCCGAATGTACCCGTTATAGTTTTAAATGCTTATTATTGATTCCAAATCCTAAACAAAACCATTATGTAGGGTGCTAACATCCTAAGAGTCCTATGTATCACGCATAATTTAATTATAATAGTAATTGACAGGATCAATAGTTATTTAAAAATACCTACATATTTAATAAAACTAGATATTTTCTGCAAATCTAGAGCTGAAAACGTAATATTTTTACAATAGTGTAGATTTTCCTATTTTTGTGTCTGGATTTTTTTTAATTTGTGATTTTAATTTTACTATAAAATAATGTGTTTATAGGCTCGATTGACCTAGGAAACATTGCAATGTATAATCACCGTGGAGCATCATGCACAAAGTGCACTCATTAGGAATTGGACACCAATTTTCTTCGAAAATAATTGCAATTTTTTTTTTTTTAGAAATTGTCTTTATTATATTGAATATTTACATCTATACAAAATATACGCACAACAGTAAATGGGAAAACAGTAAAAAATAAAAAATTAATAATATAGCTTGAATAACATGCAGTAGGGGGGCACGGAATGGAGCTACCTACTTTGAATTTTGAGTTTGTTTATCTAATATTTCTTTTTTGTTTGATTGCAATTTTATCGTTTTTCTTTTTGAAAACATTGCAGTTTTTGTTATTTTACAATATTATAAAATTACTAAATATTTACATGTTTTAGTAGGTATTTTTTTAATTAAATAGGACCGTACATATTAGTTTAACTTTTTAAACTAAGAATAATTTTCTGAACATTTCGACTCGTCGATAACCGGTTTTGGATACCTAGTTACTTTTGATGTTACTAAAGTTAGAGCTATGCACGCAGATAAAAATAATATTACACTCTATCCTTTTTCCCGTTCTAAACTTTTAGCTTTAAAAACCTTAAAATTAATTATCTAAAACTGGTAATCGACGAGTCAAAATGTTCAGCAAATGATTCTTAGTTTAAAAAGTTAAATTAATATATACGTACGTTTTTATTTCAGTTTCAAAAGACATAATAGCGTTAAAAAAAAATTAATAAATATCAAAATTAGAATAATTTTCAGTTTTCTACAATAACATAAACTTATGTATCTCCAAATAGAAAAACTACAAAATTGCAATTTTTTTGCGAATGAGTGTCTTTTCCTTATTGAATCACCCTGTATATATGCATTCGATGCATTGGTGTACGTATATTTGTATACGGCAAAACTTGTCAGTACAAAAATATGCAATATGCAAGTGCAACGAATAATTTTATAACATAGGTTGTCATCTATAATGACTATAATGGGTGTCGTTTTGATGATCAGATCACTCTGATAGTAAGTTATTATTAATAAATATTTAGTAATCGCGTTAATGGGCACTCGACCGGTCTAGTTGGCAACAGAATACGGCACGCTTCTAAAAGCTTACGGCGAAAATGGATGTGAATATATTCCTAAGCCACGATGGCTTAACCAAGTTCGGTTGAGTGCAATACTCAAATTTTTTTTTTTTTTTATCTGCCCGCAACGCGCAGATAAAAATAAACAACACATTACTTCGACCCGAGACTTGAATAGTTCTAAAACTAATTGTTTTATCAATTAAAAGTTAATCGATCAATAAAATAATACAAACCAAATTAAGTCTTAGTTTAAAACGCTATGAAATTACATGCAGTCAATGTATAAATTACGAATGCACTCTAAAACGTACCGTCAAAGAAAAATAATTTTTAATAATACTCACTTGGTAGTGGTTTGATGAGCCGTATGGATTAAGTCGTGTGTGAGAGAAACTCGAAAAATCACTAATACAGTTTACAGTGTTCGGTTTGACTTTATGTAGTTAGTTTTGTGACCCTCCTTCACCTGCCGCATTTTCTTAAGTTGCAAGTAACACCCGTTTCGCAACCGATTGTGTTTACATAGGATAACCAATAGGATTCTATTGTAAATGGTAAGACGGCTCTTCGCTACCCCCACTTGTTGTCTGGTTTGTCCAATGTGGTTCTAACACATATTTTTGTTAGCGCCCATTGTACCGTGAGCCGTGCATTGCAAATTATATTCAACTTGAAGAAACTATAGACTAGAATTATTAAAAAAAAAAAATATTTAATTATTTAAGCTCTGAATTATTTATGCTCTGAATTTTCGTTGTACGTTATAAATGCGTGAACATTACACGGTTGGTAATATTTTTTTTTTGCGTTTTATTTACCTTGAATTCGTATCGGTAGCAACGAACATATGAGTCATAATAATACACATAAAAAAGCTCCTTGATGGTAGATGTACTCAGATTTTTCGTGCTATTAAATGCGTTGGTATATAAAATGCCTTGGAGTTTTATTATGTTAAACATACATTCGTTGTAGACACAAATGTGTTGTATACACCTTTGGGTAGAATTTACAGAAATGAGAATATTGTAAATACATTTATAATATATTATTATTTATAAAATGTGAAAAAAAAACTATGAATTATCACGAATACATAAGTTTTATTGTATTGTATTGTATTTCATTCCATATTCCTACGATTGGTCTTAGAACACCTAAAAATGTCTACATCCGTTCATGAATAATATGTTACTATATTATTTTTATAATCAAAATTTAAAACCTTTATCGTTACTTTTCTAAATAATATTGTATATTCACTTTTTTCAACGGGAAAACGTATTGAAAACACGTTTTAAGTTGTAAAATTTATTTAAAATAAGAAGACCACTTGTTTTGATTTGTTGTTTTGTATGCTTGTTCAAACAGTTACAGTCATACACATAATATGTCCTAAATAAGAAAATATTCGCAAACAAAAACAACATCTTTTATCATCGACCTAGTTATATTATTTGAATGTGGAATTGCTTTTAGCGACCGGTATTAATGCGAACGTGACTTTTTGTGTGTTATAAAAATAAAAATAATAATAATCCAACTTATTAAAAGACTACGGCTCTTTTAAATTTGATCATAAACTTCAAAGTCCAATCAAATTCTATTTTACTAAAACACAAAAAATAGATTAACATAAATGTATAAATTTATTATTCATACAAGTTGCTATAGGATATTGCAAAATCGCCCCTCCCTAAATTCCTCTTACCGAAGGGGGAAAAATTACAATGACCTTGAAATAACATTGTATTACCAAAAAAAATTTGTTTTTTTTTTTATTATTCTAGAGAATCGTCAAAAAGTCGGGTTGGCCATGAATTTGTTAAGACCTCGAATTTGTCGACTCGTATATTTCAATTTATGTAAACAGTGTAAATGGGAACGCACATCGGACGACCCAAGTGTTTTTCTACAGTGAATAAAATTGTGTTTTCTATGTTAACATGAGTACATCGGTGTTTTCATACCTATACGAATTCAAAATAAATAAGACGCAAAAAAAAAAATTTACTAACCGTGTGTTGCTTATTGTTTTATATACCTAATATACTAGCACATATCATACAACGAAAATGTAGCGCATAAACTAAAACCTCAAACATAATATTCGGTTTGAAAACCCAAATTTGGGCCTCTGGTAAAAGAAATCTGTACACGTTAGCAAATAAGAAGGATTGTTTTCTAACGTTAACGTTAACATTTTTCCAAAAAACAAAGCCAGTAGAGTTAGGTCGAGGCATAGTGGGTGGGGAGGGGAGGTCACAAGTATACAGGAATTATTATAACTGAAAGTGATAAAATCGTTTTTAAATAAACTCATCAATGCGAATCTATGGACGTATCGGTTCAAACCGGTACAGTCCAAACTAAGCATAGTAGTTGAACGTGTAAGTAGTACCTAGTCGGTAGTAGTAGTATTATGTGAGTAAGTAAGATGGGTTCACAGATAAAAATACAAACATCGAGAAAACCTAATGTACCAAATTACAATTGTTTGCTTGAAAATTAATTTTAAGTTTAAGGGTTGATACGATTAGGGTTGATCGTCTGTCTGTATGAATGTATTGCTATAGTTACCATAACCCATATATCGTTGTTAACAATGTGATTAAATATTTCCATTGCCTGTTTACTCATTTACACACAGCAATGTGTGAGTAGTCATGGAAATTGACTACGGTCAAAGTGTATTTCCCCCTTATTTTGGAATTTTCCTTAATAAAGTAAAAGTTTGATCACAGATTTTTTTGACAAAATTGTATATCCCTATCAAATTTCTAAAAAATTGCTTCAAAATGTGAAATAGAGAAATAAATTCTATATATTTCATTGGAAACGGTTTTAATTAAGTAGTCTTATAGTTTTAACATTTTAATGGAATAAAAAAAAAGATTTTTTTGCGCGACGTACATCGTCGGCTGTATTTTATGTTTCGGCTAAAGTTTATGTTAAAGTAAATAGTTTTTATTTACTTTTGAACTCGGTGTAACTTTTGAAACACGTGTGCTCTCCTTTCAATTTTAAATATTGAAGACGAATTACTCAAATCCATTAATTGGTCAGATATAACCATATTTTTTTTACATTTTATTGTTATATTATTTTTTTTATGTATTTTGATAATCTATTGTTATTTCAATAGCTAATATATACAGAATGGACACATGTCTAATATTCTACAAAAAACACTTTATTGCATAATCAAATGTAATACCCGTAAATACAGGATTCTGTGCAAACGAGACACATGTCCTACTATATAAGTAAAAAAATTATTATGAACAATTTCGTTAATATTATGGCACTTGTCATCTGGACGTCTGAGCTTTTTGCCCTAAAAGAATTGTTATCGAAAATTATATTGCAGTATTACCATTGTCACCATTTTTTTCCCACAAAACATTGCTTAAACAAAATTATCTTGGGACTTCGGAACTTAGATAAGTACAATAGTTATAACAACTTCTTCTTATTGATCAATTATTTTGAGTAATGTAGCTTGATAGTAACATGATTGAATATATGCTTTATATTGAATAATATAAAATTGCGCCCTACATTAACATATATTTTATTGTCGACAAAGAAAATTGTAAATTTACAAAATGTCTTTGTCCAAGGGCGGCAGTAAAGTTTATTGCGGCACGAATTAAATTTGATAATTCCTAGGGATAAAGGGAAATAAAAATATTTATTAGACTACTAGTTGCATTTTGCATTTACTAATTGCAACTTGTTACTTTTCGCAATATTAGTAATGTCTCGCCAAAAGTGTCTACTAAGCAAGTGGGGACCAATTCTCATACTATAGTATTCATTTGTTATTGAACATCGTTTGGACACGAAAATGTGCTCTAGGGTATAATTTTTAGCATATCAATATTGTAATTTACTCATAGAACCAGGTATAAAAAAATAATAAAATCCAAAAGTCAAATAGTGAACAATATGACGTATAATATCTCGTATATGACAAAAGAATAACATTAAATATATAATATAACAATTAATAACAATTTTTTAAAGTTTATCTTTATATAAAACAAAACATTGTTAATTAAAAATATAAATGTTTAATTTTTTTTTTTCTATTTTTTTTTATTCTTTACGTCTGTTATAAATTTTTCGACGACATCTACTATTTTTTTTAGAACACCCTCTTTTACTTGGACTGTGACTGTGTCATCATGCCAATTTTCCCACATACTATCCACTGCTTCTTTGTCTTCGAGCACATCCGCACAGTCGATTTCTTCGAGAACCACCATAGCTTGTGTTGCAGTGATTAACTTTCCACTTGCGTCGCCATCTTTGCCGGCTATTATTAAATTTTCTGCATCTTCAACGACATCAAAATAGAATGGATGAAATTCATGTGAGTTAACTGTGCACAAATATGAAAAAACATTTTAAAAACAGTTATAATACCGTACAATTAATAAGTATACTGTGCCATGAAATAAAAATCGCTAGGATCATGGCCAAATTTGGTATTCTTTTTTAACGATATGACATTAAGCACGAATAAAATGTGCATTAAATATTTGTTCTTATTTACTCATTTCGCTAAGTCCAGTCTCGTAATTTTACTAAACATAAATAAATCAGGAAAAACCCCCCAAAAAAAATAAAAATCATTAATATTATTATGTAGACGGTAGAATGTATAATACAATACCAACAAAACATTTTGAAAGAACAATTGAGTGTTTCTTGATTACAAAATAGTTTGATCGGATGTATTTAAATACTTCATTCTAAATTTAAATTACTGTATGTATGTGTTCTAAATCTACTTTCTGCCATATTTTTCGACCATGTTTACAGCAACTATTTTCAAAGTGTATATTTTTTAACGATAAAGTTTTTCTAAGTCCGACTGGTACTTAAATAAAGGTATTGAGGTACTAAAACCCGCATCAAAAAAAAAAAAAAAAAGAGTTATCTACAGAATGGAAATTGGATTAATCTCATTAACCTAATCTCCCTTTTGCGTATTATACAAAAATAAAACAAAATAATGACTTAGATACTTACAATCACCAGTTTTCTCATCTTTTTTAAAACATTTAAATAAATAAGGTTCAATAAGCCTACATTGAAGACTTGTTATCGGGTCATAACTGTTCAAACCCTCGTTAATGGCATTTTCATCCAAGGGCCTATCCCCCTCATCCTCGTCCTTCTCATCCTTTTCCTCCTCAACCTCGTCACTCACCCCCTCGTCCCCCACCCCCTCGTTGCCTGCCTCCTCGGAGGACTTAAGACGCTACGAGGGAGGCGTATCCGGGGAAGATGTCTCTGAGGATGACGCAGCATGTAATGAAATCTGAAAGACGTACATACACAGTATTAGTACTATTAGTAGTATCATAGTTCTTGACGACTGTCTTGACAAATACCAGTAGAGTTATAGTTTTGCAGGTTCAGTGAAAATAAGTCCAAGAAAATTGGGTACG